ATAATAATTCATTGAGAGTCGTATAGACACTTTAAAATTAATAATACTGCTCATAAAGCACTTGTTGATTGATTGTGTAGAAATATCGAAGAGCCATACCATGTGTGCGAGTGAAAGTATGAAACAAGCTATTAACTAGCTATATCGTCCAGTGGTCGGAGTGTGGAGTATGTTGGGTCGAACATCTTGGCTGGGTTAGGTTGAATGGTAATGTGTTAATGGAAATTTATCCGTTGGACCAAAACACACGAGGCCTCTTTATCCTCCTTGGAGCTTGAGCGCGCGCGACCCCTAATATTCAGCCGTGGGCCGCCCCGCCACTCGTCGCAATTCGCAGCTCTTCGTTCCCTTCGTCGCTGCGAGCGCCCCGCTATCTCGATCGTACTCTCTCTCTCCCCCACGCGGATATGTACACTTGTCGCATATCAACACCACTCAAGCTCATGTATATATGCATTTCGATTACGGCAAGGAATATTTGAGACGACACACACACACATACATACTTACACACACACAGGGCACCAGAGACCTCCTTGCTCCTGCTACGCTTTGGCCGCGTACAAGATCACTCGCGATTTTCCATTCCGTTCAAGCGCGAAATTTTCGGCTCTCCTCGCTTTTTCAAACTTTGCCAGATTTCTTTTGCAGTTTTTGAATTTACGTCCACAAGATCGCTTCCATTTTCTTTTACTGTCTGCAGAGCTTATCTTTTTGTCTCGCCTTTCGTCTTTTCGTTCTTTACCTCCAATATCAACTTTATTTTTTTTTTACGTCTGGCGAAACCTGATTAACATTCATTCTAAATTATTTGTATTTATTACGTGATATATACACATATTTTTAATTTTTAGTTTTCATCTGCCATCCAAAAATGATGTTTCACTTTTCATGATTTAATCAAATTGTAGAAAAGTAAAAATAAGTTTATGTTCAAAAATTATGATTAAATTATCCGATTTACTTAATGAAACAAAGTGAGTCCTTAAAAGTGAAGATTATAAAAAACACAAAAAGCTCAAAATGAAAGATATTGATAGAAACGAAAAAATTGTTGATTGTGATCAGTAGATCTCCAATTATTGTTTATGCAAATAAAAATCAAACAAATTGCATGCTGGCCAGAAGTGTGTAGAGTAGGTGCGTAATGTGGTAGGTAATTCTTAGGGAACATATAGCAAATCCGACATTGATAGCGATGGTTGGTGATTTGCCGGGATAAGCGGCGGCGCGGGATGCCGCGGAGCCGTTTAATGCGAGTTTTCGCGCATTGTCGAGGGGGAGCGGTCGCGGCAACGCGCGACCGGCAAAAAGAGTGCAGCTAGCCGCGCTGCGCGCCATGACTATGCGCCGCGGAGATAGCTGCAGCGCGTATATATCGCGCCCACGGAAACGATTTATCTCCGGCATAGTCGTTATTTCAGGCCGTCCTTCTCTCTCTCTCTCTCTCTCTCTCTCTCTCTGTTGCTCTCGCTCGCTCTACCGACGGTTGGGGCACGAAATTGCATTAACATAAACACGCAGCGCGCGCGGGCGCATCAAAAACGCGCGGCCCAGTGGCCGTATATGGCAGCTCGTGGTGAGTGCTATCTGGCCTGACCGATCGTCCTTTATTCGTCGCAGCCCTTGCCTACCCGATACCAGCAACAGCAGCACCTCTCTCCCACCCTCTCTGAGCTTTATCGGGCTTGTGGCGCGTATCAAGCTCCCATCCAAAATGGCCAACGATAGCTCTCTCCCCACCCCCCCGTCGCAGCCAAGTAAGCGGCCAAATTTATTATGTGCAACCTGCCTTTTAAAGCGGTCCCGCGTAATGCCAATGTTTTTCTATCTTTTATCGCCGATGCAGGCGTCTGCTCTCAACCGTTATTCTACTTAACGTACATTGCGCGTTAAGCTCTCAGCGTTATGCTCGCAGCTTATAAATTTTGCTACAGTTTTACTAAGCTATCTCCGACCGATCAATTATTCTCGCTCGTCCAAACTGCTCGTCTCCACTTTTTTCTTCTTTTCACATTTTTCTGGCAAATCCGAATCTTTCGTAATTTCCCACAGCTATCAAATTGGAAAGATCGATTTATTTTTGCGACATTATTTGGAAACAACTGAAAATTTGAATTTTTATTTAGATCGAAATTAATGACTCTAAATCTATTCTGCGAACTCGCGCAATCGATTCGTTGGCAAGAAAGATTGATCCTATGATAATCAATTTAAGCACTTAGCAGATATTTTCAAGATCCTGATAAGACCAAGTCAAAAATAGCAAAACAGGCAAACTTCTGAGGCTATGGCTGTTGTCAGTGATAATTTGGTGAAAAATTCAGAGTGCTATTTTTGAGTGTCATCAACGCGGAGGAAAACTGCCGTCTTGAGTGAAGCCGCCGCGTAAGTGAAGCGAAAAAAGAGCGGAGAGAAGAAGAGAGCAGCAAAAGATAAAAAGCTGGATAGACGAGGAGAGAAAGAGAGAGAGAGAGAGAGAGAGAGAGAGAGAGAGAGAGAGATTGCCCTCCTCGAAGAGAGTGTATAAGAAGAAAGTGGTGGAGTGTCCTCGAGCGGTAGCGGTAGCTGTGTTGGTGCGGCGACTTCGTTGGCTTTTCAGGACGCAGAGACATCAGGCTCGAGTGTTTTTATTCCATTACCAGCTGAACACGGGGACCACCTCTTAACCACTTACTTAACCTAACCGTGCAACTCTTCCGGTAGCGTAATGTCACCCACGTGAACTGCGTTGCTCAGCACACTGCGCACTTGAGCGTCTCCCGACATCTCAAATATTATCCGTCGCTAGCGATCAAACTTCTCTACACTCTGCCACTGTGCTACCGCACCTTCTACCCCTCCCGACAATTCTCACCCCTTTCCGTATATACAAGTGTCTTGCATCTTTAGCAGCGACATATGCGCGCTCCTCCTCCTCTCGTCATCATCGTCGTCGTGTCGTCGTCGTTTATCTCACCCTCTCTCAATATCTCTCTCTCTCCCTCTCTCTCTCTCTCTCTCTTAATTGCCGCAACGAAACTTACTCGACACTACTCCGCAGCATCTATACTTAACTTTCTAAATTTAAACTGATCTTCACTTATAGATTCATGAAATTCCCTTTACTCAAGTGTACAATGTAAAACCTCTGCCCAAATTTGTTAGAAACCAACTAAACTTCATCTAGCTATAGCTCAACATATTTTCGTATTAATAAAATACAATCAATTCTATTTCTTAATATTTAGTTTGATTTTACAAAAATTTATCAAGCACTTTGAATCATTGGTTGTTTACAACAGTTAAACGCTCTCATCACTATATTTTGAATATCTATTTAATTTCTTCAGGTAATATGAAATAATTATTTAATAAAGCATACAAATAACAAATAAATTAATTATGTTCACGATAAAAAAAAAGTGCATCTAACATAAATATTGAAAAGTTCTCTTACTTTATTTTGAGATTTTTTTTCTTTTATTACTATATTAGCGAATCAAAAATATTGAAATAGAACATATAGCTGATGAAATTAAGCCTAACTAATATTTTTAATGACATGAATCAGATGCAGGTTGAAAGTTTGGACTAAATAAAATCATCTGTGTAAGATTATCTGTGAATAATACCTATAAATATCTACTGAAGATATTTATTTCCGTGATTTTAAAAATTAGTACATTTTGAAAATTAATAAAATGTGTGCATTTTTTAAATTATACTTAGCAACTGATTTTAATAGTAATGTCGTAAAAAAATTATCGCTTGAGCATTTTCTTTCTTAAATTATTCTATATTGTGTGATAAGTTTGATTCTGCATGATTATTTGTATCATCAATATTGCTTTGATTAATGTTCAATTCTTATTATAGTTTTAGAAAGTAAAATGATTCGTAATTTTTTTGAGTTTTCTTTGTTTAAAATTAAAAATTTTTAATATTTAGAATTGCAACCACTTTTATCTATTTGTTTCTAATCCACTTTTCATAATATTACATTGTGCAAGTTGGATGAAACCTATTTTATTGCAATAGAAGCGCCTCGAAGGTTGCTATCTCGTTAATATATGTTTGGGACTTGTAGGACTTTATAATTGAATGCTAAAAAATTGAGTTTACCACAAATAAAAACTGTTCTTAAATTAAAAAGTTTAATGCAATCTTAACATTGCTAAATCACGTTAGGAAAGATGTTTTCTGTAAATAACCAATAATTTAAAAAGATTGATAAATTGTTGTAAATTTTATTTAAATAGTAAGACCAAGAATTGATGGCTTAAAAAATAGTGAGAAAAGCAGATTCTAGTTATATCGTAAAAGATTTTCAGTTAATGTAATAATTCAAGTTCTGTTAATCTTGAATTTTGGTTGAATGAAAGATTTTTCTTTGGATTATCTAAAAAAGGACTAAAAATAAAATAGATAGTTCAACTTTAGAGAGCATTTAAGAATAAATTAGTAATTTTTGTTAAAATTGTTCTACGCTATTGAATGTTACGAGAGTGAGTTTGATTTGATTCCGCTTGAGATTTAGTGAATGGACCAATGGTTAGAACGATCTTTATGGAGCATAAAATATGCTAGAACGGAACCATGTCTAAGTGAGAAATGTTCGAAAAGGAGTTGTGAGTGTAAAGCTGACTTGAAGTTCATGGTAAGTAGGGATTGGATGGTGATTTTTGTTATCTTGAGGAGGACAGTATAGTAAGTGCTGGAATTTCTCGGCGGCAGAATAGATCTAGGCGGTCGATGGTTCCAGCAGCGGCGCGCGCGTTAGTGGCCCACCTCGCGACGGTAAGTGGCTGGGCGCGCAGCCCCAAGATGCTCTGCGCAGTCTGCGGGCGGAGCGACGTACCGCCACCCCCGCGAGCACCGAGGGAGTGGGGCGCCGCGGCTTAGGCGCGTGAGTCAGTTTCCGACGAGACGTCGCGCGTCGAGCAGCAGCCCGAAAGTTCGCGCTGCGCACCTCGACCACGAGGTGCCCACGTGAGCGCCGCCGAGTTCGCTCTCGAAAGTTGCATTTTTTCTCGATCGCGCATAGCGTAAGACTTCTTAGTGAGCCGATCTGCCGAGAATAATCGAGGCTATCACCGTCTAACCGGAAGAATTACTGACCGTTATTTGTTGTTTCTCGTTCGGTCGTACTTTTCAATATGTTGGTCGAAGACAGTGTGACTGAGCAATTCTCATGGATTTGATAGATGTCAAAGGTGTGTAGAAGCAATAAAAGTCTTCAGAATTTCCTTGAAGTTTGGGATTTCTCAGCCAATTAGTAAGTGTGCCAGGAAGAAATAATTGTATCGTCGGCGACAGTTCACGATTGCAGACGACGGATAATTGAACGTAATTAGAGCTTACCGAGGTATGTGAAATCTCATCTAATATGAAACGAGCCACTAACAATATCGATCGAGACGTTGAAAAAGAAATAATTACACAATTGGAAATCGAATAAGTATCAATGAACGACACATGCATTAGTTGAATGATTGGTGATATTAAAAATTAACGAGGGCTCGAGCGTTATTCTGCACGCTAATGTACTATCCTCCAAATATCAACGGGCGAGCGAACGCGCGCTGAAATCAATACACGCACGTGAGCTTTAAATAATCAAACAAATCGAATCGGCACGCTCGAATAAACCCTCAAAATCGTGCTATCTTTTTAATTGAATTTTGCAGCAAGGCTTTTATAACCAGCGTTAGCTGCGTCTCTGATTTTTCCCGTTTTTATGCCCTTTGCGTGCGCCTCAGGACGGTCATATCAAAGTTTTCGCACGCGCGACTGCGAAAAATATATATATTTAGCAATGACCGCGTAATTGTAATCATAAGCTAGGTTTACCAACAACCAAACTTTTGCCGACGCGTGTTTCCATGACAAATCTTCTCTCAACGAGATAACATCGTTGAAAGCTTCGAGCTCAGCGAACGTTAGAAGGAAGAAGAGAATTAAGCCGAATAGCTAATGAAATGAAAGATGTACATTATGATTTGCTTCTACAATTATGCAACATTTTCTATTTTCACATTTTACCACTTCTCACTTCCATTCTAACTTAATAAATAAAAGTACTTTACGAAAATTAATTTCTAAACTACATAGATACTTTTAAACAAAATATTTTATATTTGATTGAGCAAAGTTTCGAGAATTTATTTGATTCTTATTTTTAAGCTGGTAACACAATTAATAACGTATTTACATGATACAAATATTATATCTACCTATCGCAAAAATATACTTAACATCACTTGTCAAAGTTATATAGTTAGACAACAAAAAGACAAAGTCATTAGAGTTTTTCCCATGCCTTTGTGTGTGTTTCTTATTTAAGCATTTGTACAAATATGTACATGTATCTGAAGGTGTATATTTCAGTTCTGAATCTATACGAATAAGACAAAATAACTATAAAAAAATTTTTTTTAAGACAAAAACAATCAAAAGGAAACTACTAAATAGCTCCACTTCCCAAGTGTCAAATTTAATAAGTTGAATCGTCTGGATGTCTAACTCGCTAAACAATATAGCATATTGTGAATTCCGAGAGTATATTTATAAGTAAGAATTTGGAAGATATAAATTATTTTCTCACGAATCAGAGATCGCATTGAAAGATATTTTAGCAAACTGGTGTTCAAGCGAGATTATAGATATCGCAGGTTTGATATTTTCTTGTATTTACAATTGTTGAGAGTATTATTTATGATATCACAATATTTTTGTAACAATTCTTAAGCTTTATCGTATCTAATTGCCGGTAAATATTGTTCTTCATATTCGAAATGCGCAACACTTTTTATCAGAAAATTCGTATCTATATTTTTTTCCCTGTCTAATGTGTACAGTTTATTTGAATAACTTTATAATTATTGTGTAATAGGACTAGTTTATAGGAAAGATTTTTAATACTGAAGTATAATTATTTGTCTAGTATCGTCATTGAATGTTTGAGATATGTTTGTATTCTTGATGCTATTGTTATTAATGAAAAAAGAGTCTATGAATGATGTTATCGCTCATAAATTTTATCGGGTAACCATTATTCTGCTACAGTGATTTGACTATTTTTTAATTTTGATATTGAAACCGTTCGGATTGATTACTTAATCCACCAAACTATAGCTTAATTATAGCTTACTTATAGCTATTTTTATTTCTTTGGTGGTGTGACTTATAATGTGAGTTTTATTTAATTTTTTTTTTTTTTTTTGATAAAAATATTTTTTCTCAATTTCTTCTCATTCATGTAGGTTCATAACTGAAATATCATAGAAATGAAAGATTCATATTTAAACAGTGAATTCAATTTATGAATAATAACATGAATCAGCAGGAATAGAAATATGCTGTAAATATGTCGTTTTAAAAAAATAAGAGGTTACGTTACGTTTATGGTATTGAAGTTAATATTGTCGTCTTAAAATTTCGTTCGAAAAGAGAAAATGTATAAAATAAAATAGAACGAAACACATTTTTAGTTTTTATACATCGTAAAGTGAGAGGTATGCGGACATCGGAAACTAATTATTATAATATTAAGCCCATTAAACTTGTGCAATGTTCATGGCTGTCTTCAACATAACTACTCAAAAACACACAATAGCTAATGTATTATATTAATATTATTATTATAATATTATAAAACTACGCACGAAATCACTACTATTGAGTATGTAAGGTTTATTATTGTAAGATATAACATCATAGTACATTTTATCAATCATAGATGTAATTAATCATTTGGAGAATTTTTTAGATACATCTTCAAATCATTGAAAGTTCATCGATTTTTATGAAAACATGAGTATAAATTCTATTTTATTCATCAGTGAATATCGATGGATGTAATGTATTTTGAACATCATTTTTTATTCATGCGTAATACGTATACATACTACTATTAGAATCTCAGCTTATCTCTCATACTAGACTTCATTAAAGTTATTAAATCTTTATTGAAGTTTATTCAATCATGCTAAATTTACTTTCAATACTATTGTGATTAAAAATTTCTTACCAAACTACTTTTCGTTATAACATGGAACATCTTTTATAGTAAGTGACTTGAGCATTATTTGTAGACCAATGTTTTTACAGAAAATAGTTTCCGCATAAATTTTCAAATATTATGGCATTTTTCAAGTTTATGCAAATTATTTTTTCTTTAAAAATGTTACTCGAATATTTTTCAAACATGGCAGCTTATCAATACATATATGTAATATAATGTGACGAAAATAAATGACATTTGTATTACTTTTAAAACTCTATTTCCTTAACTTGCTTTATTGGATTGAAAAAGGAATTTTATAGAGCTTAAAAATATGATTCTTGATAATTATTCTGGCATTAAAAAGTAATTTTTTATCGATTCAATTATAATATAATAATGCTATTTGCATTGTATACGTACGTTATGTATTCACAGATTGAGGTTCTTTTGGAAATGCATTTATTAATTTTCACCATTTTAATTTTCATCTTAAAGTAAAATATTTGATTGAATCAGCCAATTTTTTACATGACCGTAACGATTAATTCAAATATATATATATATATATATATATATATATATATATATATATATATACATATGAGAGATTCCACAGAAATTTACCATAACTTGGCACCATCTGAGAATATTAGAAATTAGGCCCATCGCAACGAATGCTCGTGAAATTTTCTCTCCTAAACATTCGAAACGTAATCGAAAAAGAATATAATTTTATATGATATTTTGTTATTTATAAACAAGCTAACAGATACAATGTTAATCTGAATATAAATTGAAATTTCACATCAACAAATATATCAGCACACAAATAAAATTCTATACAGGTCAACATTCCTATTTGAAATGTTGACCAGCGCAATATCTTAAAAATGACCGCAGATTATAAAGCTCTTAAAGAATACCGGGTGGGCACGTCTATTTAACATTTGCGCAGTTTCACACCTTTATCATATAATTCCTAGCAGAAAATAAATAAAAATACGATTGTCACGGACGATTACTAGAAAACCGGAGATAACCAGAACATTTTCATATTACGTACAGCAATGAACTCGTAAAGTTAAGAGCTTGCACACAGTTTGAACATTCGAAAAAATAGAACTAAATTAGTTCATGAAATTCCTGATATAATGCATTTATGAATTTATTACGTGTATAAAACTATGCACAGATAGAAAACTCTCTTGCTGACATTTTAAGCCTTTTGCACCAGACGGTTCGGAACGGACCAGTTAAATTTCGATTTTTAAGACATAATACTACAGAAACCGTGTAAGTGTTAAAAAAAAATACAAAAAATCCAATTGACTTGTCAAAAATGGAATTTGATTTTAGATATAATCTTACGTCAATAAAAACATTGTATTTAAAATTGTGTTTAAAATTTAAAATTTAAAATTTTAAACGTTTTTTTAAAATAAATTTTAAAATAAATTCATTTTTAAAATAAATTTATAATTCAAATACGAGATGCATTGAAGAATTGCAATTTAATTTTTTTTAATACTTGTTACATTTAGCTGTCATAAGGAAAATCTAAAAATTATATAGCTAAATTATTGTTTAAAGCCGTAGTATTGTTTCTTCTGTAACGGTACTTATGTTTTTCTAACTGAACTACGTGAATTAATGTATTAACTTTAAGTCATCATGTAAAATAATCATTGTTGATTTATAAAAGCTGTCTTAACTAGAGCTCGAGAAAAAAGCTCGAGTTTTTAGGTTTCCGAAGTATCTAGTTACTCTATATACTAAATCTCCAAATCTTTTCAGCTGTCCAAGTTTCATAACAGTTTGAATAGTTTTCCCTTACAAATCTATTCTAACTTATGATTACTATTGAGATTTTTCAACTTCCTAATTAAATAACATTTGTAAAATACATTGTTAATTTCTGCAAATTTAGTAGACTAAAGTAAAAATTTTGTACATCTATTTTGATACAGTTTTGGATGAGATCGAAATTTTAAGCTGAATTGAATCTTACGCAAGCCGCTCGAGTATTTGCGAATGTTTCAATGATTGGTAATGAAACGCCATCCCCTACATCTCTACATATGATATTGTTTTTATGATATTGCATCATCATGACTTTGCTGCAAAAGGAATGAATGCAGCGCAACTTGCAATAAAAGAGTAAAGAGTGAAAATGTAATAGGGAGAAATGTTCAAATTAGATTACCGCTAGATAGCTCTTAGCAGTGGAAACGGAATCGAACGTCGAAAAAAAGAATCTCACAAAACAGATCGAGGAATGGCGAATGAGGGTTTGGTGAACAAAGAGAGAGAGAGAGAGAGAGAGAGAAAGAGTCGGAGGGGCGCTAAAATGAAAAAGCGAG